TTTTAAAAGCCAGCACAATGTACTGGGTGATCGCTTTTTTGTAACCACCTAAACATGGTCGGGTTACCACGGTCTTGCACCTTCTAATGACTTTTGTTTAATTATCTCGTAAATTATTATATGTACTACGCTGAAATTTTACAGGTAGTCAACTGAACTAAACAACTAATTATTGGCATAACATTCAGTTTATATATCCACACACAGGTTTATCGGTGGCCAAAAAAGGCCGCACACATTGTGATCGTGAACGTGGAGAGCTACATTTCATCATAACTTTTTAGTCACTTACAGTATTCTTACGAAAATTCGTATACATTTGAAGGTAGTTACAAGCAATAGAATAACGTTTCAAGTAAGTCTTAAGAGGTCTTATTTAAAGTGTTAGGACGTATTTAAGTGTTTTCATACTTACCTAAATAATTTTTAAACGGTCCATTATTTTTGTTATTTTATTGTCGAACAAATTAAAACTAATCCTTAAGAAGTTATGTACAAAAGATGGTTACAATCCGCTTACCCGTTTCAGAGATCCAGCAAACCCACAAACGTTACTCCAGCAGGATTTCGAATAACTTCGCAACCGAAGAAAATACAAATACCAAATAAGTTGTAACATTTACCTAGTCCAGGTAACTAATTATTTAGCTAAAATTTATTTCAATATTACAATTAAAAAAAAAATGTCTGGCTGCGGTAACGTTTCAAACGTTACTCCAGCAGGAAATGTTTTTTTGAAATAACTAAAAAAGTTTAAGTGAAACAAATTTAAAAATGTGCTTAACAATTACAGAAGGGGAGCAACTAATTATCTATAAAGTTTAAATGACCATTTTCGACATTATTTTGCTGGGGTAACGCACACCCCAACTAACCAATACATTCGAATGTAAGACAGTAATGCTTGTGCGCCTCAACTACTCAACGCATCATTAGAATTTTTTTAATCTTGCACGGTGGTGCATAATCCGATGTAATACTGGAATTAATCTATGAAACTGATGACAAAAATATTCTGAATCACCATTGCGGTTTTTTTGCATGTTCTAGCGTTGTTGTATTTATTTACGTTTTAGTATTCTAAACGAGTACATATCATATACCTTTATGTGAACGAGTTTAGTAGGCTTAACATGATTGTTTTTTTTTATTTATTTCTAGGTTTTGTCGACAGCTTCGCATAAGTCAAATGATTTGCTTATCTCTCGTGTACTCTTTTTCGGAATAAAGATGCCTTAAGCCATTTCTCTGTACGTTAGGTAACGTGTGTATAAAATATCAGGTTAATCGTATAAATAATATGGCAACGTACAAAATGCTAACAAACACATTGATTTTTGTTACATATTAGGTTTTGTTATGAGAACTGCCAATTGGGCCACGTTCTTTAACAGCTTAACAGCGCTTACTCACGCTTGACCTTTTGTTTTAGTTTCTTTTTAACATGTAGTACATTAGCATTCATCAATAAAGCTGCTTTTTGTACTAATCATTCCGTTAAGCACGTAAATAAATTGTAACAATTGTGCATAAAATGGTGTTATCTAAATATTTATCTATCAACAATTTGAATAAATTACGATAGGATATCCTAAGGTCTATTCTGTTTACTCACACAGTGGTACATTATCGATGTATTTTATATTTCATGTCTTAAATTTATCTGTAATTACGGTTTAAATTATGGTCATCATCATAGTTTCGTTACTAATCGTAACGATATTCGCTCTTAATGAAAATAATAAATATCGCATACTAGTAAAAAGTATGTCATTTTTTTTTTTTCTTAACACAAACATGTTAATGTTTTCTATTGTCTCCAACGATATTTAAGTGAATGGAACAAATCTGTTATCTCATATTACAACTGACCTTGCTTCCTATCCGACCTACTTTACTTCATGCTCATTATATTATACATACACATAGAAGTGAAAACTCTTGTAAACGGAACCAAAAACCTGATTCCCGTTTCCATACATACGAAGTGTATGTTGGTCACGCTACATAGACGAGCGGATGACTTAATAACTAGTAATTACTAGGAACAAGTGTCGGAAAATGGCGAAACGCCGGCACGGACTTGCAGAAAGTTGTATTGTCGCATGACATTTGCGTATAGATACTATCTATTTTGTGTATAACGTTTTTGTTTATGGCCCGATGTCGAGCCGTCAAAGCGTAATAAATTATGCATACAAGGGGATTTTTTACCAAAATTAATGTGTTAATTATTTTGCATTTTAGCACAAGGTAGATAAGGCTAAAATAATTAATATTATGATAATTTATAACTCGGGATACAAATTACACATGGAACATCGAAGAAACTGCAAAGAAACGAAACTTAAGTATTATTGTGCTTAATAATATTGCCTGAGATTTCTTACATAAATATTTCTTGAAAATAACAACTTTTTATATTATTAAATATTTCTATGACCTTAGTGTCAGAAAGTATGTTTATCATGGCTGCTCGTGCGTCAAAACCATAATAAATTGATAATGCTGACTATAACTGTAAAATGTCTTTGTAACTGTTATGGGGATTTCTTGTATAAAGTTTGAAACAATGGTGTGTGGATCTAGTAGTAGACAAACGGTGGTCTTGATGAAATTTTCGTCTAAATTAACATTGTGCGCTTTTCAACAAAATTTTTACTTCGCGTAACCAATCTTTGGAACAAATTGTCGCCTGTGGTATTACCGATATCACCTTAAATCTACAAAAAAAGAGAATACTCCCACCTCAAAGATCTATTCTGGTCACTATATTTTAGACAAAGAGCTAGTTTGAAGATGATCTGCTGTAACATGATCAGTCGCAAGTACCAAATGAGGAAATGGACCATTTTAGTTCTTATACATATATTTGCAACATGGCATATTACAGTCAATAGGGCATTCAACTATGCTAATGACCTTTCCCTCATTTGTGTGTAATGTAAAAAAATATGTATGTTAAGATAAAGATATACATATGCTACACATACTTTAGCAACATTGATACTTAAAATGTTGTGTGTAACTAGTTTTCTGTTAATGGTTCTAGCTAAGCAATTAGATCAAAGGCCAATTCTCGTAATAAAAGTTTGGTCTCAATTCAGTTCCGATCAACGATCGATCTCACAACTATCATTAAAGGTATTTTCGTAGTAAAGTATTTAACATCTAACGTTGACTGCAACGTGATTATTATTATCGTATTGTAACCGATAATTTAATAGATAATCTGCTTGTGTTAGTAATACTTTATTATTTTACTGGGAAAATACCTTTTATGACAGTAATAAGATCGAGAGTTGATCGGAACTGAATTGTAACCAAACTTTTATTACGAGAATTGGCCTTCTGGTTTTCGTTTTTAATTTTGTGTTATCTGTATTATTTTTTTCGTCCGTGTGGTGACGGATTAAGAATACAGAGTGTCACCACCCCTATTCATCCCGTGGGTGTCGTAAGAGACGACTAAGGGAGAAAACTACGCAGAACAACAGCACTGCAGAGAGAAGGAAAACTTGACACAAACCCTATACCAACCCGTCTGGCCAGCGTGGTATAGTAGGCCAATACCTCCTTTCTAAGGAGAGGCTTATGTCCAGCAGTGGACTATTAAAGGCTGTTGATGATGATGATGATGATGTATTATTTTTTATGTTAAAACTAACCGACTTAACAAAACAAATAGGCTAAAAACATACCTTTTGTATTGTCCTTAATTCATAGTAACATCATCTAAGAGTAATAAATGAACTGTCAACTTCCCGCTACGCTCGCAAATGCATTTTTTCCTTCCTCGGGATATTTTCTGAATGAAATGCATCCTGTGTGATTACTATATTTGATTGTGATTATTGTTATAGTAACTAGTAGTAATAGTCATTAATGCCAATTACATTTAATTCAACTAATTGCGAATTCTCATGTCTTAACACGTTTATTGCTAATGCTAATATTGCAATTTCGGACAAGGCGAGCAAATGAAAAGTGATCCTAACTTGTAGGTAGGTATATCAATAAGAATTATTTTTACATAAATAAGTTGTTTACATTATATTTTTTTCCAACATTCTTACAGAAATAATACAATACAGGGTTTGTTCGCGATATGTTAGCCTTCGTCAATTCGTCACTTAACACTATTTATTTACAAAAAATATCCCTATCCATTGGTCACACATCACAAACACCTATTTACAACGTACACGTCACACTCTTCAAAACTTAAATTGCCTATACCTACTCTATAATTAAACTTTTTACTAACAAATATTTTATAGTAGTGATGGAATAATTAGTCTTCACACTTATATTTGATTCTATATTATATAATAATTCTTAATTAGTATTTAGCAGTTAGCAAAGTAATTGTATTTGATATAATCTCGATATAAAAAATAATAATTTCGATACCTATATAAAATAATCGAATTTTACATTTCTATAACAGTGTTCTTTCCAAGGTACTAACTAGATGTAGAATAACAAGTACTATTTTGACCCTCTCATCTTGATGACGCCTATTTTAAACTATGTGACACAATTGTTGAACAGGAAAAAGTAGTACATTAATTATACATCCAAGTACAACAAAACATTGTGGTTATGTAAGTGTGACTTTTAACCATGTATTGTTGTTGTATTTAGAACATCCCGTCAGCCTATCGCCACTGATTCTTCTCAGTTATGTATGCAGGATTTCCTGTGAGCTTATGATGTTACTCTCCGCATGTCAACATTTTAGTGCGAGTTGCAAATACGCCACTGTAGTGTTGGATACATCTTTAATTTATAAACGTCTCATAGTTTTCGAATGTTACAATTTCTTCCTACTTTGCTTTGTCTTTAGTTTAGAAAACAAAACACTGCTAAATTCTGAATTTATGTAAATAAAAAAAAACTCGTGTGGAAATAAGTAATGTTATCTTTATAATAGGTAATAATGTATTGTATTGTTTGTTTCAGTGATGCATACGAGGTAGCCGTAAGGTGAAGCAGCCATGCCGCTGCCGAAGCGCTGCGTAGAGCCCGTACACGTGTCGCGAGGCACCGTACCTGAGCGGCTCGCGGTCCCCTCCGAACTAGAAGCCGTCACTAATGGCACACTCGCCAACACTGTCAGGTATCAAATATTCATTGCACTATTATTTATTCATTAAACCAGAAGGCCAGTTATTGTCTCTAGTACGTCTCCGAACACAGGACGGACATTAGGTCTCCCGGTCTCGTCCGTTCCGATTCGTATCCGAGACTTGAGCATCCTGGCATCTTTGTCTCATAAATTTTTCTTGTCTTCCGTATCTCAATGGAACCTTTTTTTCCTTTGTTCTGTCGATTGGCGTAAGTCACACTGCCTTCCATAAAAGAAACCAAGTTATTGCATGGGACGAAGGTATTTTCGAAAGGCATTTTGCAATTTTAAAGACAACTTTGCATGTATAATAGAAGAAGGTATTTTTTGGTACAATATAAAGCCCGGTCCACACTTAAAGCCCTGTCATTAAATACCGCTAACGTCATTTCACATATCAAGAATCTCATCCATAAAGTCTTAACACGACCTTGAATCTTGCATAGATTATATAAAGAATTGGTCTTTATCTAGTCTTGGCAGTGAACATTAAATTAATCTTAGACTTGATGTCTGCCCTTTGGGTCAGAGTAACACGTCCGCTGTACCTTATTCATAACAGAAACAAGAAAACAGTCACGTACATTACATAGGTAAATAATAATTAAAAATATTTTATGATTCCAGGTATTATCATTTTTAAAGTAGTGAAAGTAAAATTATGAGGAGTATCATTCTTGTCAAAAAAAATGTTTATTGTCACCGCCGACGATTCATTTACATCACAGTTTGTGATTCGTTTCACTCCAAAGCCCTAATATATAAATTTAAGTCTTCGTTAAAAATACTCAAGACACCCAGGATAGCAGCAAAATTTGGTCATTAAAGATTCTGTTGTGACAAACGTCCTTTTTACCATATTTTGATTGTTAACATTAACTATAGTATAAACCTTAAGAACAAATAGCACGAAAAAAATGATTGTTATTTGGGTCATAAGTGAGTTTTAAAAAGAGATCATTGCTTGATCGAGTTTCCCAGAGTGGATTTTTCTTAAAATTTAACGACTTCCATCATATAAAAGAGAAGGCTGACTTCTAATTTAGGTCAAATTACCTGATCTGTTTACATGGACACATTTCTGTATTGTTACTCAGTCTGAACTTTTGTAGAAATTGTGCTATGCACATGCTAATCTAAGTAGAATTTATTTTTTAAATTGTTCCTTGGTTTATGTATATACGTAGTACAATTCCTGAACTTCGTAAACTCGTAACACATTTTCCTTTTACGAAGTGACGATCAACGATGTTATTTGGCTAACTGTTCTACAATACTTAAATATTCATGACATTTGTTTGTATGCTCCACTCACAGACGTCTCAAAGAAAGTTTAGCGAAATTTAAGAAAAAAAAGTTAAACTATTCAAAGAATCACCATTTGCATTATTCAAATTTTAAGCAGTCCAAACATGTTTGGATACCAGTCTGGCTCAGGTCATTCAACGTAGTAATTGGAAGCCTCCCACAACAATTTTTAATTAAGATAAAACCAACTACAATTCTAAGCTTGGTCGGTTGGAGTATGGGGTAAAAAAGGGTAGAATTTTAGATCACCCTTGGACCAACACACCAGTGTACTGTCCAGGAGCCCGGTCCGGCTTGGTGCAGCAGTAAACACATTTAGCCATATTATACCTTACAGTAATTACAAATAGATAAGAACACTCAGACCTAAACTACCAATTAATCCTACCGGTATATAATCGTCCAGAGTAGGTAACTTTTCAATTTTGCACGTTGCTTTCCGTAACCGCTATAGGTCGACCACTTCCTTTGTGATTGGACTCAGTCCACTGCGTTTGAAATAGTGAAACTAGCGGTACGCTGTTGCCTTCGATAATACCCTTACTATTATTATCACGTCTTTAGTATCAAATGTTTGTATCAAAAACAAATCTATTAAATGGTTTTTTGAACGCTGTATACGACGCCAAATATTCTGTGACTCTCCTGAAATTGATGGGATCTCTCTTCTCTCTGGATCTACTCCATACATACACGTCTGTATCCCCAAAGGGTAGACAGGTAGGGGGTCGAGTTCAAGCCTTTTGTCGTCAACCGGGCACATAATATATTTCTAATTGACCATTCTTACACATTTCCAAAAACATACGTATCAAGGATGAATTACACTCAGACACAGGACAAATAGTCAGGTTCGCTAACCACTACACCAACAGGCCCGTCACATTCGTATTCCAACTTAGTTTTAATATATTTTTAACTAGCTGCTGCCCTCGACTTCTTTTGCGTGAAATTTGAAAAACCTTAGTGGTGCAGTACGCTACGCGTCTACAGTCCATGTGGCTTCGGGTTCGATTCCCGGACCGGGCAAAATTTTATAGGGTTTTTCTGAAAGAAAAAATTGCCTACGTTACTCTTTATATAGACAGCTACCTGGTAGTAAAATATTATCAAGATCGGTCCAGCCGTTTGGAAGATTACTTTAACAAACAGAGAGACAAAAAATATTTAAACGGGTTTTTAGGCATATGTATCTTGCAAATAACCGTGTTAGAATGAAAAATCTATTATTTTGACACATCAATTTTATTTATTTGTATAGAAGATTAAACATGGCTTACAAATTATTGTTTCTGTTTGCAGGCAGCTATCGTCGCTGTCGAAACATGCGGAAGACATGTTCGGTGAGCTGACACGCGAAGCTACCAATCTTGCGGAACGGACGAACGTTCTACAGGCCAGGATAGACAGGCTCGCCATTAAAGTTACTCAACTCGACTCGGGTGTCGAAGAAGGTGAGCTACATCATGATAATTTTTTTTGGCAATAAAAAAGTATGATCTCATTGTCCATTGCAAACCAAGTTTATTAATGCTTTTTTGGTATTTCAAAGTGGTTACAATATAATTTGTTTTTATCTACGATCCAAGACCATCATTCACGAGTTATATAACACTATAAAATATAGATTATTTTAGGCCTTCAGCTCATACTAAAATGAACTTGATTAGATCATCCGAAAATTTTGATTTAAGGTATAAAATAGTCTTCTTTCATGTAGAACAGGACATATAATTAAATAATCCTACAGAGTCAAGTCTTATTAGGTTGTTAAATTAGGTGCGATAGTACTATCATATCTTTGTAATAATCGTACAGGTATCAATTCAATCTGAAAAGATAAAAGATTCGCGTTCATTCAGGACTAAATTGTTAATTTATTTAAAAATAATATTATAATAAATAGTAGTAAGTAGCAACATTTTCTGACCGAAATCAAAAACAGAAACAGACGGCTTTTAAGCCCATAACTGTACTCATGCAATGTTACGAAATAATCTTCTATTAACTATACTATTTACTTTTAATAATAATATTTCGGGCATCTGTCACACAACGCCATCTAGTTTCAAACTAAGCAGTGCTTGTACTATGAAAGCTAGATTGACTGATAAAATATTTTTTTGTAAATACATGTATATTATACATAGAAAACACCCAAAGTCCCTAACAAATGTTCGCAGATCATACAAACATTTGGTCCGACTCGGGAACTGAACCCTAGACCTTAGCACAGCAGTCGCACACGCTACCACTGCACCACCGGGGCAACGAACCAACTTCAACGATCGTTTAATTGTCAATCCCAACAGGAGATAATCTAAAAAATTAAAAACGGGTCTTATCACCACATTAGATATGTGGTATTATTTATTACCTTGATGGTAATAAATATGTAATGCTTTGGTATTTTTAAAATATAAGATAAGGAAAATTAAACCAAAATTAAATCTCATAATGTGTTGTTCTGTTTCAGTTTCCTTACAAGATATTCAAATGCGTAAAGCTTTCCGGTCAGCGAGAACATTCCAGCAACAGCTGTTCTCTCGAAATTCCATGCCATCAGCGATGCTCTCCACATACGCACGCTGCGATCGACCGCCCCCACTCGAAATGCTCAACGAGTTTAGAGACGACGGTAGGGATGCCAGAAAGTTCTACACAGATCCCGATTACTTCTTCGAATTGTGGAGGAGGGAAATGCTGCAAGACACAGAACGCATCCAGCACGACCGAGGGAAGAAGGTAAAATATTTATTTAAGTTAAATAGCCTATACTTTTCAAAACCTTGTCAAATTTAGTTCGATCACTTTAGCCGGGTCTGACTCGATCTTTTGCGGTACGACTCGACATTTCAATCGATTTTTATCCCATTCTCAAAAAATCGATTGTTGAGATATAAGTAATATATACTCTTTTTGCAAAACTTTGATATTGTATTGCTCCCATTTCGTAAGTTCTGAACAGATGAGGAATCGATTAAATGAGTTATAATTAATTTCAAACTTAAAAAAATAGAATCCCTGCATCATCATTATTACTTTTACAATATTTTAGGGTAAATTAGTCGATACTATTTTATAACAGTCCTTTCCGCTATTAGAGAGTAAGCAAATTAATAGAAAATGCCATTTTAAAAATGCTTATTTTATGTGTCAGGTTCGCCCACCCCGGAGCGGCAGTGGCGCCGAGGGCCGCAACACGCGGCGTGTGCGGCCCCCGCACTCCACACGCGACCGACTCAAGGAAGCCGCTGTCACTCGCGGCGAGCACATCATGGCACCTAGCCAATTGCGGCATTACAACGTCGACCTACAACAGTACAAGACAGATCCTGTCTATCAGAGTAAGTGGTCTCACTCACTCACCTTTTTGATGCAAATTTTCACCTTTAAGATGTAATTAACTGCTATAATCAAGTTGATCAAATTCGTTGGAGGACCATGCATAAATGGAACGGCTCGACGGGCCTCTATACTAATTCTTTCGTTGCTTTTTACCGACTGAGTGAAGCCACCGGAGCTCAAAATCAAAATCATCTTGTTCCGGGGAAGAGGACCATACTTAGTCACTAAGCATCAGGGGACCTATCTGATCGTTTACCGTGCTGTTGTAACTAAAAATAAACCTGGGAGATTTCACTACAACTAACGAACTTCTCCAAAAATTATCGGGACTTCAACATTCCGAAGGCCAAAGTGGCTGTTCTGTTAATCGCACCTTATTCATGTTTCATTAAACTGTTAGATTTGGAGTAAATTGCTTTAACGCGCAATTTTTATCTGAGAATAAGACGCGGAACGGGCGCCTTATCCCTCTTATACAATGGGGTTCTCCGACGAGGCGTCTTTAGGTTGCAAACGGCCTGAAACGGCGAATATTGTTTTTATTTCCAATATTTTTCATATACCAGTACCATTTATTACCATTAATTGATCAATGTATACAAATTCCATGGAATACTTTAAATATGTATCAATATTTCACCAAGGATCTTTTTTGTAGTTACAAATGTGTCGGATGGTGGGTATAGAGCATCACAGACACGCACGCCAGCGACGCAGCAAGCTAGACCAAACTCGATCGAAATTGAAAATCAGCAGAATAGGCAACCGAGGATAACTGGAAATGGACACGGTAATTTTATATTTATAGAAACAGTAGACATACTCGTACAAAGTTGAAGAAGTATTCGAAATTAATTTATGCTTTAGTAAAAATCTTTTTTTGAGAATCGATAAATATAATATAGGTACCACGAATAGTGATTTGGCCGAATAACGAATATTCGGCGAGTCTTCTGGCCAAAGCGCCGAATATTCGGTAACATTTAGTACCTTTTGCGGGTTTAAAGCTGCATCAGTGAAATGGTCAGCAAACCTTAAAAAAATCCTAACCCAACAGAATTTGCTAAGATTTATTTATGGAAGCAGTATAAACAGTGACCGGCTATTTTCTGAAGCAGGTATAATTTATGAGGAAAAGCGCTATCGTTTCCTATCGGCAAATGCTGAAAAAAAATCGATTTAAGTACTAATATGATAAGTTATTGGTAAAATAAAAATCTTTTCTTTAAAATAACAAGAATAGTTGGGAATATTCGGCCCAATACCGAATAGTTGTCGCATATTCGTGACATTCTAATAAATAGTATCAATAAAGTATTTAGTAGTAATAAAGTATCGCCTGGTTTGATCGGTTCTACATTATTACAAATTAGATATTAATTACATGCGTACAGATAAACTAAAGGTCCACAAATGAGTTTTGTCTAAAAATACTTGATTGGACCGTTTTCACATAATTATTTAGTGTCTTTCATTTAACTGTAACATAAAATCCTGGATCACATCGACATGAAAGAAATATGTTGATAGAATATCGAAAACAAATGGCTGATCTGTTATTATTCAAGTAAGGTATATAAATATATTACGTTCAAGTGGTGGCGGACGAGAGCCCGTACGGGTCGGTGGGCGGCGAGCCCATCTACGGCGGCAGCATGGCCGGCACGCCGCGCCGCCCGCGCCCCTCCGTGCCGCCCCCCGCGCCCCCGGCGCCCCTGTCGCCCCACTCGCCCCACTCGCCTCACTCGCCGCTCTCCCCGCCTGCGCTCAACACGCCCACCAGGTAACATCCTCCGTAGACAATGAAATTATTGCTACTTTTAAAACATCTTCGTATGATGAAATTATTAGTTCAAGTCACAGCGATTTCACATGTGATTGTGATTTGCTCATTGAAAAGGTAAATGCCATTACAATCGATCAAATTTTTTTTATTAAAGATTATGTCTAGCGCTAGCGTACTTATAATAACTCGCAGTGGTATTGTAAATTAGTCACGTGGTGATAACATGATTTATCACAGGTGATCGTGATTTTATTCTCAGTAATACTTAGTTATATTCTATTCTAGTTATATTCTAGCGATAGAACATAACGTTAACACGTGAGGTGGTTGATGTTCAAATGGATTTTTGCATTTTTATGTTTTCCTTAAACTTTCCTTTGACTGGTGGTGCAGTGGTAGCGCTTGCTGTACTGAGCTCTTGGATTCGATTCCCGGGTCGGATTAAATGTTTGTATGATCTGCAAATATTTGTTGTATAATGTAAATGTATTTACAAAAAAGTATTAAACTGTCAGTAAATCTAGTTTTCATAGTATAAACTCTGCTTAGTTTGAAACTAGATGGTATTGCGTTTTAGATGTCCGAAATTTTATTATTATTAAAATTTGGATATTATTGTGTAATGAACATGAATGTGTGATGTCAGGTCGACGCTGCCGCCGCCGCCGCCCCCGCCGGAGGGCGCGGCTCCGCTGCTGAACGGCGCGTCCCCGCCGCACCGCACCGCTCTCGACGCGCACCTCGACCACATGCACGCTGTCATCGGTATATGTCTTATCTTATATTATTCGGATCTAGTACCCGGTGGGATTATATCGCATAGAAAGTTGCGATACTTAAAGCAAAACGTGTTTTAACAGCCAAAATGCCAGCGATCAAAATTTTTATAGAGATGTGGTGTGATGGATAGCGATGGGAAAACTTGACACAAACTCAATACCGACCCGTCTGGCCAGCGCTGTATAGTAGACCGAAACCTAATTTTTAAAGAAAGGCCTATGTCCAGCAATAGACTATGAAAGGCTCGACCGACCAGGTTATTAAAAACGATGGTTGTCTTAGAACACAAAAGTAAAGATAAAAATGTTGCTCCTACATGTGTATAGCGACACCAACGTCTTATGCAGGTATGATGTCGTCGGAAGAGGCGGACAGCGCTGTGGTGCCGGCGGCGCCGCTACCGCCGGTGGCCCCGCCCTCCCCGCCGCCCCCACCCCCCGCGGCTCCGGGCGCCCCGCCGGCCCCGGGCGAGGACCGGCCGCGCCCCCCCTCGCCCGGGGCGCTCCTGCGCGGCGCGTCAGCGCTCAAGCCCCCGCGCCCTACGCCCGACCCGCAGCCAGACCCTCGCTCCGACCTGCTCAAGGCGATCCGCGACGGTATGTTTTACTGCCACGCTGAAATTAACTAATAAAGTATTTATATTTCTGTACATTAATTAATCCATTATAAATTAACGTTTTGAAGCAGTTTCGTGTGAAGCTAAATTTTATTTGCAAGTCCCATGCATTCTCCATGATTTAATTCATATTAACAATTCATACTTTTTAGTTAACTGATATATTCAATCTGAAAACTAAATTAAATTACTATAACCTACAACTTCACACGTTTTAGGCATAAAACTTCGCAAGGTAGAGAAGCGAGACGACACGACGGGTCGGTACGACACCCTGCGAGGCGCCCCCGTATTCCTGGACGTGGCATCGATCTTGGCGCGGCGAGTGGCCGTGGAACTCAGCGACACGAGCTCCGGCCCGGACTCGGACTCCGACGACTCCGACCAGTGGACCGAGTCGAGGGCGTGACGTCGCGCCTCGCCCCGCCCTGAGCCCGCGCCGCCTCGCCGCCCGCCCGAGCCGGGCCCGGCGCCGCCCGGGGAGCCCGTCGTCATCACCATCAAGCCCGAGCGAGCCGGCCCCGAGCCCGCCGCGGCCGCGCCCGCGCCCAAGCCGCCCGCGCTCGACGACGCCTGCTACGTGCGCAACTCGTCCTTCCTCAGCCAGGATATCGAGGCGCAGAAGGCCGCGCGGCGCCCCGCCGAGGTGCCGCCCAGGAAATCATCCATACCCGCCGTCCCACCAAATTCCGAAGTCGCACCACCTACTAAAGAGTCGCCCCCCGTCAGAGTCACCTCTCCGATGAAATCCCCTCCCAAGAAAAATCCGCCGATTAAGTCGCCGCCGACCTCATCGCCTCTGAACAAATCACCTCCGATTAAATCCCCTCCGCTGAAATCTCCTCTGATTAAATCCCCTCCACAGAAATCTCCTCCGATTACATCTCCACCAGTTAGATCATCACCATCAGCCGTTTTTCGCTCCCCGCCCACTAGCGTTGTGACATCCCCGCCCGCTAGCGTGGTGACATCCGCGCCCGCTAGCGTCGTGACATCCCCACCACTAAAAAAAACGACTCCGCCCCGGACGGATGTTATCTCTCCACCGATCGCAGACCTCAAACCATCAGGTTTAGTGTCAAAGACCGACGATAGCTCGGGAACAACCCGAACTCCGTGGCGGGAGTCGCCGGTCATCAAGGAGGGACACACCCATGTTGAGAAACTATCCCTAGAGAATGAAAAAGTTAATCTGACCGATTCGAAAGCCGATGTCACTACTGAAAGCGTTGAAGGAAAGTGCGAGTCAAAATCGGAGGAATCAAACGGAGTTGGTGATAAAATAAAAAAGTTTGAGAAAGCGGCTGAGGATGCTAATGCGAACGTAGGTCGACTGTCGCGTCCGGGTTCCGTCCGAGGGCGACCCCGTACAGAACGTCTAGGTTCCGACAATAGTCGAGAAGATCTGCCCCCGCCCGCGACTCCCTTCAAGGATAATGTTCACTTCGATCTGGGCACCGCCACACTTCCCGATCGGCCGGCCACTGTACTAGAAAGACAGCAAAGCCTGACCAGAATTGCGACTGCGGCAGCTTCCGTCAGGTGGCAGCCCGCTTCCGCGGATGTAGAAAAGATTCGCCCGGAACCTCAGAAAATAATAAAGCCAGAATTTAAGCCGATGCCGCCGATGCCCCTAGACGTTACGATACGCTCTCCGAGTTTAGGCGCCAAGATCAGCGATCAATTTCCGTCGCACGGTACCGCGTTTCGAAACGTCGCTTCCCCCGATCCCGCCCGCTCCAGAGACCTTCACAAAATCAACGACGATGTAAATACTCAAAATAATTTTAAGACTTGTAAATTTAAAAACAAGGAGAAGTACTCGGTCAGCAAGGGGTCGAGTTACTACACTAGGGGATCTGAGGAAATATGGCTAGTGAAGAAGAAGGATATCGAGGAAATAGAGGAGAGGGTGCTCGACTCCTTCAGACGAGCAGGTGGGAATATTTGTATGAGGAGTGAGTCTATGCGACCGTCGTCTGACAGCGGCCAGACCGTGTCATTCTCACATGCGACCATGGGTAGGACTAAACGTCAGATGTACGCTCGCAGCGAGTCATTGGATCCGCAATGGGCCGGTGCTCGCGCTCAGACTCTGAAGCGCCAGTCGTCCGTGGCGTGCACGTGCGGCCACGACAAAAAGACCCGCGCAAAGAGTGCCGGTGCCGAGACCACTCCCCGTCCTCGTTCTCGTTCTCACGGTGACGAAAATAATCAAGCTCACGTTCTAGATAAGTACGAGACACTCGTCTAACTCTTCTGACCCCCTTGTTCCATGCGTGATTATTGTGATACTTGGCATTATTGAGTGGATTGAGGAGAGGTTGACGTGCATGAAATAATGCTTCTGCGATTTCAGCTATTTCAGATTTGAGTGTGGTCAGTGTCACATGTCAATATTTTAAGTGACTTATGGTGTAAGGAATATCGTTTGATCTACTCGTGATGAATATTGAATATGGTGTTAATATTAATCAAATTATTATCAAATGAAAGGATTGGCTAGTCTTATGAAAAGTTTAGATGAACGTGGATAATTCATTATAAAACCAAAAAATACACGTAAAATACGCGATAATGATAACTGTAGAGACGACAATCGTTAGATAGTAGTACTATTGAAATTTTAAATAGCTACTCTCTCTTTTAAAATAATGATGACTGAATGAACTTTATTAAATGGAGGTTGTCAATCGTTTGAATGGAGCACAAATTACAGTTGTGAGCTGAAATTTAAACGAGTTTTGGAAGACAATTTGTTCTTTGTAATATTGTTTTTAGTTCTGGAGTGTATGATTTGGAAATGTCTATTCTACCTTGTATCCCTCGTATATACATATATGTATATTTCTTGTGTTACTATCGTCCAGCACAGTAACCGTTTACAGCGGGTCGGATGGTTTTATTATCCTATATCTAAAATATAAATTTAAGTCACCACATATGTCATACATGTTGACATAATTCAAAGTTGGGTTTAGATCCTCTGTTTAAAATGTGCATTATTGTGACTGTCGTAAGCGTCGAAATCACTTCACTGCTACAGTGCTTGGACTGAGAAAGCCCACCTTAGCAACCTTAATGCATGGTGCTTTGCTTGTTGATAGATACATTTAACAGGTTTGTTTTGACCATCTAAAACTGTTTTCATAGAACGGTTGTGAAATTATGTTTGAGATTCTTGATATTATGAAAGGTATTTTTTTATAAATAAAAACGCTTTAATTGAACATGATTTATGATGTTGCTAGTCGAAGTTTTGATTTAGCCGTTGTGAGGTGTGTCATTTATATAATCAGACAGTTATACTGTCTAATATTCATGTCATATTATATGTATAATACCTAATTACTATAATTTCCATTAATCAAGTTGGGTAGGAAAAAGTTAATTATACACCTATACTTATGTGTATAAGATTGCGATATCAGAATGAGTATATAATATGAGTTTTGTAATTACATAATATTATGTGACCTGCGTATGTAGTGCCAATTACACAATATCTAAGTAAAGCTATTTACTTCCATTTTATACATTTTGTAACATCAAATAACTAAAAGATTGTAATGTATTTTAATAAGTAAGAAAGGAATCTCAAAGTTTCCTTCAATTTTCTCTATACCAATTATATTCTGTGTGAGCTATTTGTATTTCCTAAATATATACATTCCGATGTGTTTTAGTTGCTCACAGTACCCGCGTGATTGTGTTAATATGTTTAAAGTTAAAATGAGCAACGAATGTGAACCAAATTTCTAAATATGTAGTGTTGTATCTAGCTAGGCGTAAGTTTACAAAATCAGTTCATGTACCTTTACCTTAAGATTTTATTTTAAATATAGGTTAACGAGATCGTTTTTATAATATCCTTTTGTTTGTTAATTACAATTCTACCTTAATTATTTTTATGGATTTTTTCTACCTGTTAATTTAACCTAATGTAATTTATTAAATCTGCCATTTTGTAAATAACAATTCTATATCCCAATGGGTAACTGATGATATAATATGAAGTGTTTCTCGTATAATCCGGTAATAATTATCTACCGTGTTATCTGGAATTTTGAACTTCTAATTTGGTTGCGTAATAATCTGTATGAAGAGCATGTAGGGTTGTAGTGTAATATGTACGTAACTGTCACGATTATGTAGTAAGAAATGTAATTATAGGTGTAAGGAAATGAATAAAGCATGTTTTATATTATGTAGAATACGAATGCCTCTTTATTTTGTCTTAAACGACAACTGCTAATTATTTATTTGCATTTTTTTTTAAATAATTTAATTTTTATTAAAAAAGATCAGAAGCACATTGTTGTAAATGCTAAATAGTCCACTGAAATAAAATACAATTATTGACTGCTATGAGATTTACATTTAGTTTAATGGCCATATTTGTGCGAAATAAATGTAGCTTGTTGAGATCACACTGCAGCCAATGGCAATATCGAGCTGAAGTGCTTCATATCCCAGACTATTACGTCTTTGTGTAATAAGAATTATATTTTATAAATTGTTTATTTGCTAATACAATATAAGTTAAAATTATGTTGTTTTATTTCGGAAACCATAAAAAAGCACCTATTATTATTATTCTCTAACTATAACTGGTAGCGACGCTAACCTTGATCAGTGATGGATTGAGGGATCTTTGAAATCTGGAAGCTAATTCTAATCTAATCGTCTAATTTAATAACAGGACGTTTGCGTCCTTTATTAAATTGGACGATTTAATTCAATTCAATTCTTTTTTTCTAATTCAATAAGCCATGCATTGTCTGCTGCTTTGACTTGTATCAAAATCTCGTCCATGGATATAATTTATTAGTGACCACTATTGCTTGTGATATTCGACCATAACAAAATTAATTTATCTTTTATGACTCACAACACATGACATGACTAGAAGAACTTGATTTGTTATTGTATGTAATAAAATAGGGTATTTTCCCTACAAGAGAAAAAATCAAAAAATATATTATTGATATGGAAAAAGACTTGTAAAATTTTAATTTTAGATAAAATGATGAATGATCTATTTTTTTTATTTCAGTTTTTTTTTAATTATTGTAAAATAGTTGCCGCTATGTTATTACGTCATACGGCTATGTCAGTTGAATCTACAATTTGTCTGGCGTTTTTTCACTAGTATTCTTGCATTCAGTTACACTGCAACAACGATAAGTAGAAAAATAACAAATTTTTAAATTATAAACAATATTATACAAAATATCAGCGCACTTGCTTACATAGCCGACTGATGTCTTGACCATAGACTAATATGGCGTCCAGCATTTTCGTCAAATTACGCGCGAAATTTGAAAATGTCAAATTTAGATACATTTCATGGCACATGGACTGAATATTTTTTTGTGTTATTTCAGTGGTATATAAGTAATCTAATTGAGACACGACATTGATATGACAAGTCAATACCTATATTTACACTGGTCGCCTTTAGCTTTTTGTAGTGGTTTACAAATAATCAAACCTTAGGAAAATATCTGTTCCATTGATACTTGTACCTACTTAAATTAAGACTACATCGGTTCACACATCTAGGAAGAAATGTACTTAATGTTGAGCAAAATGAGACCGTTAGTTACAAATGTTGTATTGATTAGAAATCATCTTAAAGGCAAATCATTAAAAGTTTACAAAAATATTTTTCTATAACCCCTGCCACCATTTACGAATTTACGTATTACGTAAGTATGTTTAAAAGTACGTTGAGTAGATATTACAATATCGCCTACAGTTTCCATAGAAACAAGTACCTACCTAGGTATCGCTGTAATTATATTACTTTTACTAATACGTATTCAGTCAGAGTACATTTTTATGATAGTTATATTAATTTAATAAAACGTTTAACTTAGTTAAATGCGATTCTGTCTACAAAATGATTGTCCCTTCCTGTGATCATAAAGCGTGAACTTAGTAGAACTTTTACGCTACAGTTGCAAGAGCCACAACCCACAAGGCAAACGAAAAATGGCTTCACGTGGTATCCGCACTGAACAGTCAACATCAACATGATAATGAAATTCGCGCCGTTTAGATCTACCGTCTTCAACACAATTTTTCTACTATTCCACTTAAAATGTAGAAAGTTACTTATTCAAATTAAACTCAAATTAACACATAAAAAAGCAATAGAAAAAAAAAACGGATGTTATTAGATTTCATTCTATTTACACATTTTAATAACGAGATTTCCCAGCTCGACGTAAGCAAATTCAATATTAACATTTTATTTAAAAGTGTGCTTTATTTTATTGGTAATTTTTAGTACCTGCGTGATCTGGCAATACTTTGGAATTCGCTTGTTTGAGCGTGAACGAAATGTGTAAAGTGCATATCAAGAATTTCAAGTTTTGCGTTAATTTTAAAGTTGAATTAAATGGTATTAGTTAGTAAAAGTAGTTGACAATATAAATATTAAAAAGGTAGCTAAGTCCGTTTTCGTGATATTTTAGTTACATAAACGTTTGGTGTTATTTGCAGTGCATCACCCTTTCATTTTCACGTAGTCACAAAATATTGCAAAATGACTTCAGCACTTTATTTAGAACACTATTTAGATAGTCTTCAGCATTTACCTATAGAATTGCAAAGAAATTTTAAATTGATGCGCGATCTAGACGACCGTGCTCACGGACTAATGAGGACAATCGACCTTATGGCTGACGAATTGCTACCTACTATCCCTAAAATGGATGAGGAGACCAAAAAGGACAAGGTAAATACTATACAAGGTCTTTTTAACAAAGCGAAAGAATACGGGGATGACAAAGTGCAACTTGCCATACAAACTTATGAGTTGGTTGACAAGCACATACGTCGCCTTGACTCTGATCTCGCTAGGTTTGAATCTGAAATACAGGAGAAAGTGATGAGTGCACGTGCCGCGCAACAAGCTGCAGCTGACCAGGAAACAAATACTACTACTGTGAAGAAAGGTAGAAAAAGGAGTAAAATTAACGACAAGACTACAGCTACCACTGGTAAAAAGAAACGTGCAGGGGCGTCTAGCGAAGAAGATGCTGTTGCGTCTGGCCGATCAGCTGCCAAAAAGAAAGCAGTACGGAAAGGAGCAACTGCCACTGCTAATGCTGTCAAAGAACAAGAAGAAACAGGAGATTTGGATTCAGTTGCAGGTATGGCACATCCTAGTGACGTGCTTGATATGCCAGTCGACCCTAATGAGCCTACGTATTGTTTGTGTCATCAAGTGTCTTACGGAGAGATGATAGGATGTGACAATCCTGACTGTCCTATAGAATGGTTCCACTTTGCTTGTGTAGACCTTAAAATTAAGCCAAAAGGCAAATGGTATTGCCCTAAGTGTACGCAAGACAGAAAGAAAAAATGATCCACACTAAAACCTGCTAAGCTAGCAGATAAGACTGTGACTATTAAAAAAGAAGTAGAGTGAATACAGGTGGAAGTTAGATAAAAATAATAATAACCTCAATATTTCTCATGTGATGATAATATTTTTTACAGTTATGTTAAACTAAATTGTAAGTGAACCACAAGAATTGAAATTCATGTGCAATAATTGTGAAAGCACATTTTTATTGTAATAAACAAATCTTTGTATTACATCACATTGAGAGACTTCCATGTAATGATATTAGAAACAATTTAGTTGTTGAGTAAGTTATAAGTTGAATTAACATTACGTGTTTTGTGCTCTCATTTACTCAGTTTTGATGTGTTGTTGGGAACAACGTCAATTTCATCCCTAATCCTAAAGGGTCGCTGCCTTTTTGCAAAAAATTGAATGTGAAATTTTATGTGAAATCTTAGTAATTTAATGGAGCGTATGATTGTACAAGATATTATTGATCAATTAAAGTTGTTATGGAGTTGGATCACTATTCGTCCAACTTCAAAATAGTGATAAAAAAGTAATATATAAATGCTAGATACAATAATAGCAGCTTTTAATGGTAAGAATAATCTTATGATACTGTTATGGTATGCCTTAATTAGCATTTATATATAAAAGGATGCAGTCATTGTGTTATGGAGTGTTTCGGTAACTTAGACATAGATGAGATTTATAAACACAGGTTATGTATGACTTCCATTTTTGTAACATTTGTATAAAAGCTTTTATATATGCCTCATAATTGTACAAAAATTCATACAATCATAAATAATTTGTATTAAGTAGGATTATGATTTTGTTTTCAACAGTACTGGGTTTTAAACAGCATCAAAAGATGAGCAGAACAAGGAACAGTGTTATACTATTTTCATAGCAGTTGTTGTACTTTTATGCCATCCAGTAAGCATGGTTTTATTAACTTGTTTTTTTTAGTAAATTAAATTAAATCTTACTAAAAAATCTAGCCATAGTTTCTATAACTATGTAATTTATTAAGTTGTCATTATTAATAATTAAAGCCACAAATTGCTTGGTTCGATCATGAAGGTACAATGCTTTGAGAATTTAATAGCCAAGTCTTGGATATATTTTGGTGTCTCGATTTACTTCTATACTTTGGTGATTTCTGAGAGATTATTAAATGTTCTAATCAACCTGAACTCCCTAATTGCTGCGGAGCATTTATATTTTTTTCTGAAATGAATTGAATCGAAATGAAATTTCTGAATACATGTGTCATTCAAGACTAATGTATAATAATAGGAAGGTTGACAGAATTTGAAATGACAAATAGTATGAATTCCATATTCTAAACGCTAGCTGGTATAGAAAAGAGATTCCTATATAAATATAATTGATGTAGCATAGAATAATTTTTAAAATTAATTTTTTAACTATTGTAGAGGGACAGCTTTTAGATCTTTTGCCGAGGGAGGCTAGGGTACAGCAAAATCAGGAATTTTTACAGGTATATGTTTCAATGTCCTTCCGCCTGATATATTTTTATTTTATGCTATTTTGCATTTTATTATGTATTTTTTTTAATTAGAGTATATGATAAAATAATGATAGGTGAGATATAGAGATCCTAATGGCTTTACAGTATTCTATTAATGCAAATACCAGCAATTGCATCATTGTAATAAATCAACAGATGTTATTCAAATTTGTTAATCAGTTCACTATCATTGAATATTAAACCCAGATAATTTAAAAAAGTCTGTTCAAGCCCTGATTTTATATGTAACACTCCTGTCTTTCCTTTGTTTGCTGTAGACCTCTTAAATTGTTGCTAAATATTTTATTATTCTTTAATATAGTGTAACTGCAAACTCATCTATTTTATTTGTTTTAAATGTGAAATATGTGACTGGTTGGTCCATGTTTCTTGTTCTTGTTTTAGTCAGTCAGATTTTAATATTTAATCTTATGAAAAGTAAGTATATGCAGAATGATTTTTAAGTATATATAGAAACACTATTAGAAGTATACATGAAACAAATAATAAGAGACTCACATAAACTTTTATAAAATGTGAGTAAAGAAATGTTGAATAAATAGATTAATGTACTTCAATTTTAATTTTCTTTTTCATCTTGTAGAACACAAGACTGCCGATTCAAATCTTATTCATACTTATAAAAGTATGATGTAAACTCGAAGCTAGAAGTAGCTACTTATTTTAAGCAGCTATTTTCCACAGCAGTTCAGCAGCGAACCAAAAAGCTAGGTTTTGGGATTGTAATTTCAATATTTTCAATTAAATGTTAAAACCTGACCGAAGAAAACATGTAGCTAAGTTTGTTAGAATAGTGTTGATGCATCACATTTGCAAATAGTGATTTTATAAAGTTATGGCCCGGGCCATTTTATATTAATTGTGGAATAAAGGTAATGTATCTTTGATTTGGGCAAAATTGTTGGTTTTTGACAATTTGATGAAGTATTCACTTGCTGTAGTCAGTGTCACGAAACTTGTACATAAATATCATTTTATTAATTTTCTGCTTAAGTTTTTGTGTTTAAGCTCAGTTGCATTAAGCAATGTAGTAAAAAGATAATCAATGGACGGAAATCATCTATTAAATTAATGTTTGATTAAGGTATAGCAGCTTTTTATTTATTAAATTTGAATTGACTGATAGTTGTGTTTAAGATTCGTGATGTCAACTGTATGTTATTTTGTGGAGGTAAACTCTTGACTTCTTTGAATGTGCAACCGTGTTGCTGAAAATGGTTAACTTTTGTCTGTTAAAGATAGCATTTGGATTTTTTTTGGATTGCTTTTGGTTGAGTTCCGTTGACTATGTAGACCTTTTGTCTATTACTTAGGACATTTTTGATTTTTATAAGTAAGTATAAGCAAGGAGTTTCTAAATAAAGTTTTTTTTGGGTATATTATGGCCAATATCTAAATGCTTATCTTAACAGATCCATAAATGAATTCTTGGTGCTTTACTGAAACATTCTAATTAATATAAATCTTTTTATACAAGTATATTAGATATGTAGTTTACCTCCATTATAAATAAGACATGGGAAATATAATTACTAATAATACAACAGGGTAGTTGACATTTTTTTTTACTGAAAAGCCAATAAATAAAATGATTGTTAGTTAAGAAAAAAGTTTTTGAACTTTGTTTTGTTTTAGTCCTAGCATTTTTAGTAAGCAAATTTATGACGACATATATATTAAATAAAAGTGGACTAGTAATGCAATGTTTACACAAAGGTGTACATCAAATGAAATGTATGAAACTGTTGAGTTAAGAGCCCAACCCAGACCCACATGTTTCAGCACTATTGTTGTAAATTGAGTTTACATAGTTTTAAAGTTTGTTAACTGCCCTCTTGTGAATAGTATTGTTTCTGATAGTATTATGATTTCTGATCTGTCGTGTTATATATTAGTTAGTAGTCTTTGTACAGCAAGACAAAAGCAATATACTTAGTTATAATTAGAGGCCCTATGACTGTTTTAATGAAATATTAAGATATATTTCTTATTATTGCAGTTATCGAGTTATTTTTACTAGCTGGCAATAAATATTTTAATCAATGAGTACACCAAATAATAGCGTAAATAATATTGTAACATATGATAGGCAAATTTTATATCATAAATGTTACAAATTAATTTCAAGATTGGTATATCTTTTGTGAAATGTATATATTCATATTTTTAGCTAATACATTGAAGAAATTATTTGTGGTTATTAACCTTCATCTCCATTCCTATAATAAAAACAAGGAACCATTAACTGGATGGTATTTTCAATATTACTGTACTATATGGTTATATACTACATATGTTCCGTGTTGATAAATGCCTTATGGAGTTGTTTATTTTGTCGCTAGTTTGGTGAGTACATATGAAACTGCAACCTAACTTAATTGTTTTCTCTATTTGTGTCATTAAGGAATCTAAAGAATGCCACTAGATGGCGCTCATGTTTTTTTTTTTTTAAATAGCATGATATAAAGGATTTAATTAATATGCTACTTTAAAAAAAAAAATGCGCGATAGTAGTAGAGTATGTAATAACATACTCTACTTTGATAAATTACAATACACATTGTTTTTCTAATTCTGAGGGTCATCACTTTTCACAAAATTCACACCAAAGATTTCCCCAAATCCTGTAATAAAAACCAGAAATAAAATAAAGGGCCCATGTAAATATAGAAATATTTTGTACATAGTTTGATACGAAACTTAAAGTATAGCCTGTTTTATTATTTTTTTAAATTTTTGCTAGAAAGTTGTTAAGGGGGCCCTTTTTAGAGCGTTATAAATAGTAGCAAAAAATTTGAGACTTTTGGGTTTTCAATAACGTCCATATACGTTTTCGATATTTCATTTTTTTTTTTAAAGAAATTAATATTTAAAAAACAATAAAAAGGTTTTATTACCATTCACCTTTTACTTAAGAATTACTTTTTTTTTTCCCACATTCCCCAAAACCCCAAAGTCCCAAACTAAGCGAGCAAACTATGGATACTAGAAGCTGATATAAAAAATTATACTTTTTTTTGTAATACAACTTTTATACATTATGTGCGCCACCTTTGTAGCTGCAAAAGATTATTCAAAAAAGTTCTTTCCATAAGGGCAAGTCTTTTAATAACAGAATGTATGTATTATTTATTAAATATCTTTTTTAGGGACTGAATAAATTGAAAAAATTGTTTTCAAAAAACAAAAAACGAAATGAAAGTTTTGTTATTATTGCCATTAATTGTGTTTAAAAAATATTAAAATTATAAGTTTGTTTTTATACTTTTACAAGGAGAAATTGAGGTTCCCTTTTAAAAAAATTTGGGAAGTATCTTAAAAAATTTTAAAGGGCTCTCATATCCTAAAACTATGAAGAAAGACCCTTCGAGTTTCACGACACAGTACTTTTTTGTTTCGGTTTAAAGCAATAGATGGCGTTGTCATCATTTTATTGCAAAATTTTTTGGGAATAAAT